GTGAGTTATTGAATATGATAATGTGTAAGGTGAATTGGACTATTAAAGTTGTATGAAAAATGATGAGAAATCATATAACCCAATGTGTAATGTGATGTTAACATGTGAAAGTTATAAGTTAGCCTAATTTAAAGGTAATTGTGAATTAGGTCATATAGTATTATCAATTGAATTAATTGGTAGTAAATAAATGGCACACAAAATGTATGAATTCATGAAGATGCAATTCGGCCATGATGATAAAGTGAAAGATATTCACTTGAGTTAGTGGTTTTAACTAACTAATACTGGGGTCTAATGATAAAGTGTGGAATAAGTACTAAGACTAATGTGGTATGACATGAACTATCAAGTGATAAGAGAATTGTCAAGTGGAAAGAGAACTGTCAAGGTCATTAAGAGTTATTGAGTAGGTAATTGAATTAACATATGACATGTTGATTGCTTGAATTACAAGTAATGTGTTTAATTGATAATTAATGGTATTTTCATAAATGATATTAGAGTATAGAATCGGACGAAGTAAGTGGACGTAAAGTGTACAAGTAACTTGGACTGCAAGTTAATAGCAGGGAAAGCTGAACATGTAAGTTTTTGGTTTAGAAGCTTTCTTTGGTATGATGTTCCACCGTAATCGGGTGTATTATGACGGGTGGAAATAACTATTATGAATGTTAGAACTTAGCATAATTGCATTCATATCGGATCAATATATATAATTGATATACTATAAATGATATGATTTAATGTAATTTGATTTAATCTATCGTAATTAATTGTTCTATGATTTGATATGTGTGAGTGGATATTATGAATGTTAGAACTTAGTATAATTGCATTTATATAGGATCAATACGTATATAATTGATATACTGTAAATGATATGATTTAATGTAATTTGATTTATTCTGTCGTAATTAATTGTTTTATGATTTGATGTGTGTGAGTGGATATAGTTGTATTTGATCTGCTGTAATTAAACGCAAGGTGATTTGAAGTGCTGCTATTAAGTGTATTATGTTTGATCTAATATCTGCATTTTATGTGTATGTTGGATTTGATTTCTATATTCGATGTATTGTGTTTGATTTGTTATATGAAATTGATGTGTTGTATTCGAGGTGTTGTGATGTGAATATTTCAATATATTATATTGGAATTGATGTGAGCATTTGAAATACTGTGATGTGATTAATCTGATATAAGATTAATGGATAGTGCATAATTTTGGTACACTAATTATGAAAAGGTGATATCTTTGTATATGTGGTGTGTGTCTATATATATATAAATATGAATTCCAATACGAGGCCAATGAGTATTTTGGCCATACAAGTTGAGTGCATCCAGATAATGGGTGGCTGTGGTGGAATATGATTAGTTATTACTGTGAACGCATGCAGTAATTTAAAATTGATAGTATATGCTGATTAATGTGAATGCATCCGGTTATTACCGTGAACACATCCAGTCATCATACATTATAAAGTTCTTATGAATATGATTATTATGAATTTCTAATGAATTCTGATTAATGTGAGTTGCTGATAATTCTGGTTGATATGAGCTTCTAGAATAATGATGTGAAATAATTGATAGGGTAGTTAATGAAACTATAAATTGTTAGAGAAATAAAGCATGAGATTATATATGAGTATGATTGTTTGATGGTGTAAAATATCTAACTGTATTATTACGAGATTGTATGGTGTTATCTATGTTCTGGAATCTGACGTGTTACGCAGGAAGTGAACTCGTGGGTGGAGACTTCTCCATAAACCCCGAGCTTACTGAGATAGTTGAATCTCATCCCGTTTGGGGAACATATTTTAGGTACATCTGCAGTTGATGTTCGTACGAGAGGCAAGAAGCTGGTGTTGGATGATTAGTATGGTTACTAGAGTAGACTGATAGATGCATGTTTTGATGACTGTCTGTATTTATGTTTTGATGTAACATGACCAGTGTGTGATCAGGATGTATATAGTGTAAATATTCTTTTTGAAAGGCATATGTAGCCTATGTATATATTTGTATAGAGTTGATAGAGATCCATGTAAGTATGCCTGTACTTAATGATGTGTGATGTTAGGTTAATAGAAATGGCACAGAGCATTTAATGTCTTTCTATACATGAAATATTATATTGATTTAGGGAAATATATAACCCAATTATCACACACATGCCACTAATTCCTCTTTCAAATCACTAGCAATTTGATCCTTTCTCTTCTACAATTTCTATTGCGAAAGAAAGTAAATCCCCTAAGCAAAAAACACAAATTCACCTTCAAAACTCAAATGAATTTTATTATGACTTCTCCGAAAATATTATCATGTATAATATATTATATTAAGAACATACCAAACATTTTATAGTGTTAAAATTTTATCTATGGGGAAGGATATACTTACCACCAAGAAAGTTTACAACCTTTACAACTAATCTAATCAGCATTGATTTCCGTCAATCAAACGGTTATAATTTATTGCAAATTATTGGGTTACATTTATTAATTAATTATTATTTCCGATAAATTATAACCATTAGATTGACGGAAATCAAAGAGGATTAGGTTGGTTGTAAATGTGATAAACTTTTTTGGTGGTAAGTATATCCTGCCCATATATATATATATATATATATATATATATATATATATATATATATATGAGATAGGATCTTTTGACACCAGTGTCAAATTTGAAGTTTGACACCTCATCTGAGAGTTGTTACATCAAAAAAGATCAACGGTGTCACATGCTTACAAATCAGAGTCGTTGATCTTTTTTGATCTAACGACTCTCAGATGAGGTATCAAACTTCAAATTTGACACTGGTGTCAAAGGATCCTACCTCTATAATATATATGTGGGAAAAATATTTCTCAAGCAGTTTGAGATAAGTTTATCTCCAGCCACCCCAAAACTACATCGTTTTATTTATTTATTTCCTTATATTAATTGATTCACCTTTGAATGGTTATAATTTTCTTTTTCTCTCTCCTCCTTTATCACCATTGATCCAGCTTTGTATGGTTATGATTTAGTAGCTGGAGATAAAATTATCTCAAGCAGCTTGAGAAACGATAAGCCCTATATATATATATATATATATATATATATATATATATATATATATATATATATATATATATATATAGGTAAAATCATTTCTATATCCGTTTTACATACATCAATGATAAGTGTATGGTTATGATTCTCCATATTTAATGCTTTCATTTTATGTATGATTACGATTTCTCACATTTAATGCTTTCACGTATATATATGGCAAGTATTTGACTGGTGCATATACAGGAGCTGTAGAAATGTAAACCCCATATATATATATATATATATATATATATATATATATATATATATATATATATATATATATATATAAAACATTATTCTATGTTGCTTAGTGTAAAACTGTACTAAATCCTTGCCCTACCCACAAAGTATCATGCTATGTTGGACCACATAGTATTATTTATGGGTGTTCGTGGTCTGGTTTGGATCGGTTTTGGAAGCAAAAATCATCCGATTCAATCCCTTCGGTTTGATCATGTAATCATCCGTTCGATTTGAATTTTTTTTCAGATCCAATCCAATTTTTTTCAGTTTGGATTGGATCGGTTTTCGGATTTTTGAAAATCTTAAAATTTATTTCCTGATCATTGTGAAAATAACATCTTTTGTATATATTGGTTTTGTAATTTTTTTTTAAATACAAAAGCATCAGTAAACGATAACATAATTGTTTTTTTTTTTGACAAAGAGATATGAAGTTCTACATAGATAAAATTTTGTTAATGAGATGTGACTAGGTTTTTTTCTTGGGTTTAGTTGATGGGTTAATGAGTTTTGAGTTTAGAAATTTTTGGGCTATGATTGGGAAAAGACTCAAGTCGGTAGAGGAAAATTAGTATATTGGATCGGTTTGGGTTGGATCAGTTTTCATCGACCAATCCGTAAACCGATCCAATCTAATAAAATTTGCGGTTTTTTTTCGATTTTCGATTTTTTGATTTTCGGTTTATTCGGTTATAGATTTTTCGATTCGGTTACAGCGGTTTAGATCGATTGATGAACACCTCTAGTATTATTCTATGTTGCTTAGTGTGAAACTGTACTACATCCTTGCCCTACCCACAAAGTATCATGCTATGTTGGACCACATCACACTATGTGACCCTTCAACCTTTATTAGTATATATTTAGTAAGGGTTTAATTTTTCTGTTTTTGCTTCAATTTTTTTCCATCACACTCATATAAAATTGAGTGGATTTCGTTAATCTTTTCTTTCTCTTCTCTTTACAATGGGATTCGCTCACTTTTATGTAAATGTGACAGATAAATATTTTTTGCAATAAGAGCAGAAATATTTTTTCTCATTTAGTAAATAAAGGCAATATATCTAATTTTTTTCTCACAATCTAATACACCTCTAGCATAACTGAATTGAAAAATGTCAAATTAATAAAATTTATTGATATAGAATTTGTTTAAAAAATGGAAAATAATAATTAATTTCCATATTAGCCAAGTATTACCATAAGTGACAATACTTGTATTTTGAAAATCAAATATTATAAGCATTTAATGTCTTATATAACTCGATTCTTCTTTAAAATTACTCGCAATGTAATCCTTTTTCTTCTACAATTTCTATTAAGAAAGATGGTGAGTCGTCAAATTAATAATTTTTTTAAAAAATTGAAAGTAATTATTAGTTTCCATATTAGACAAAACCTACCATAAGTAACAATCCTTTCATTTTGAAAAATCAAATATTAGATGCATTTAATGTCTTTCTACAATTAAATAATAAACTGATTTAGGTGCAAGATATAATCTGCACAAGCCTATAATTCCTCTCTTTCTTTTTTTGGTACACTGTAATTCTTCTTTAAATTCAAATACAATTTGATCATTTCTCTTGCACAATTTCTATTGGGAAAGAAGGGGAATCGGGTAAAAGGAAGGAGTCATGGTTCATAGAAAAACTGAGATGAAATTGGTGAAGAATAAAAGTGCTTTGCAGTGCACTTTTTCCAAGCGTAGGAGTGGCCTTTTTAAGAAAGCAAGTGAGTTGTCAATTCTTTGTGGTGCTATGATGGGTGTCATTGCATTCTCTCCTGGTGGCAAACCCTTCTCTTTTGGTTATCCAACCATTGAGGCTGTGACTAATAAGTTCATTCAACGAGGACCAGGCCAAGGTGAACCTTCAAAAGATGGTGATGTTAACGAGCTTAATCAGAAGGTTGAGGATCTGGTGTACCAGCTGAAGGTGGAGAAGAAGGGGAAGGACATACTTGAAAATGCTCTGAACAGAAACAAGGTCATAGATGTTGAATTCCCAATTGATGATCTTAGTTCAGAGAAGCTTCAAATACTGATGGCTTCGTTGAAAAAGCTCAGAGATGAATTGAAAGAGCTCAGAGATAATTTGAAATTGCCCATGAATGAGACTGATGCAGCATCGACTTCCCCCCAACAGATAGAGGAGGATTTATTCAATCACATAGTTTGGGCTCCTAGAATATTGCGCCCTTGGGGCTTTCTATTTGATTGTATCGAAAGGCCCAATGAATTGGGATTTCCCTATTGGGCCGGGTCATTTCGGGGCAAGCAGATCATTTATGCTTCACCTTGCAGAGAAGTATGACTAAGAGACAGATCATTGGGTTGGTCAAATAAATTAAAATCTTTGCAGCATTGCAGGAGATCCTAAAATATTTGAATTATTTAGATCATCTGGCATGTTGTTTTAGCCTATGATGCACGGACACGGACACGGGACACGGGACACGGGACACGACACGACACGACACTCCGACACGTTAATTCTGAAAAATGCTAAATTTCAACACGCTGGGACACGTTTTGATATTAAATAATATATTTAATATATATAATATAGTTTACATTTAATATATATAGTAACCCATAATAAGTCACGTAACTAATCAAATATTCAAAAAGAACAAAATAAAAAATATTGTAAATATTTTTTTAAAATTGATTTTATTAAAATCTCTAAACCAGTACTGGAAAGGAAATAAAAAATATTGTAAATAGACATCTTTTACAAAAAAAAACACAAATTACCCAATCTTTTACAAAACACAAAACACAAAAGAAACACAAAGGAAATAAACGACATGCTGGCAATCCTTGACTTTCTGAACGAACCAATTAAAAACAAGCACACAGATTAATTGCCTTTTCTTGAATCATCTTATCACACGGTCCTGAATCATCTAATTGCCTTTTCCTTTGTTTCTCTTATACGGATTTTGTTCTGTTGCAATTTGGATGAAAAAAAACCTTTCATCGATCGGATGGTTGATTACTTTCTCTCTTAAGAAAGAACAGTATTCTTCCTTCGAGCTATATGGATGATTACTTTCTCTCTCTCTTCCAATGATGGTCGCCGATGACAACAGCAACTCCTTCCTTTCCCACTCTTCTTCATGGGATCGTCCGATCCAACCGCATCTACGTTTTTACACGTCGATCTTAACAGATTTGAGAGTGAAGACCGAAGACAGAAGGGTTCATCGCAATATTTTCTCTTTTTTTTAAATTGTAATTTTTTGATTTTTACAAAAATGCCAAAACGTGTCCCAAAACGTGTCCAAATACGTTGACCGCGTGTCGGATTCGATCAAAATCGTGTGTCCCTCTAGTCACTCTAGTCAACGTGTCCCAAAAAGTTGACCACGTATCGGACGCGTGTCCGAACGTGTCCTAACATGTCCGTGTCGGACACGTGTCGGACACGCATTTTTTTCCAAAATGGACGAGTCCGTGCTTCAGAGGTTTTAGCCCTTTGTTTTTACCAAAACTAAATCTATATTCGGAGAATAAAATTATCTTCCATTGCTTTATCTATCTATATATGGGGGATAGGATCCTTTGGCACCGTGTCAAATTTTGAAAAATTTGGCACCAAATCCTATCCGTTGATTTCCGACAATCAACGGTTATCATTTATTGGGAATTAATATTAATTAATAAGTTTGATTTCCAATAAATGATAATCGTTAATTGGCGGAAATCGAAGATTAGAATTTGGTGTCAAATTTCAAAATTTGGCACCGACGTCAAATGTAGGGGTGTGCACGGGTCAGGTTTTTGTGCCGACTCGACCCAACTTGATTTTTATAGGTCAGGTATTTTGACACGACCCGCTTTAATTTGATCTAAGTCAGGTCTGACTTGGTTTGGATTTTTTTAAACTAGTTCAGAACCGGGTCTGATGTGACCTGACTTGGTTTCTGAAGTGGGTCTGACTTGGTTTTTGAAGTGGGTCAAATCCGACCTGACCTGTTTTTGACTTGGTTTCGTCTCAAAATTTCGTCAAAATTTCTATGTTGCAAATGACAAAAATTTCGTCACAAAATTATTTTTTCGTCAGAATACTTTTTGTCGAAAAGCGACGAAATTTTTTCTCTAATGAAAATTTTTACAAAAATAATTTTTCTATCGAAATTTAGTTACCGTCAAAAGTTTTGACGAAAATGATTTTCTCCATTAAATGTTTTAAACGAAAAAAGAATTCCGTTAAAAATTTTGACGGAATGTTTTTTGTTCAAAATTTTGATAGGAATATGTACTGACGAAAATTTCGACGTAAATTGTTTTGAGGGAAATGTTTCATTCAAAACTTTCGACGAAATTTAGATTCTCTAAAGAATTTGGACAAAATATTTATCCGTCAAAATTTTTTATCGAAACTTTTTTTTGTCAAAAATTTTTACGAAAATTTTGACAGAAATGTGTTCCGATGAAAATTTTGATGGAAATGTTTTTTTATCAAAAAACTTGATGAAAATATTTAGTCGAAAATTGTCGATGGAAATGTGTTTCGCTAAAAATTTTGACGAAATTTTTTTGTCAAAAAGTTTAACGAAAATATTTCCGTCGAAAACTTTCGCCAAAATTTGAATTCTGTAAAGAATTGTGATGAAAATTTTTTCCGTTAAAAAATTTCGATGGAAATGTGTTTCGTTAAAATTTAGATTCTGTAAAAAAATTTGAACAAAAAAAATTTTCCGTCAAATTTTTTACAAAAATGTTTTTAGTCACAAATTTTGATGAAAATATTTTTCGTAAAATTTTTTATGGAAATATTTTTCGTAAGATATTTTGACGGAATTGTTGTTTTACGTTAAAACTTTTCTTTTAATGTAATTGTGATTTTTTTTTCTTTTTTATTCACATAGTGGTATGGGTCAAGTTTTGGGTCAATGGGTCATTATTAAAACAAGTCAGGTCTAAAACTGACCCAAATAAAAGTGGGTCAGTATTTAAACCTAGTTCAAAAAAATAGGTATTTATGGGTCAGGTCAAGGTCAGATCAAGAGCAGGGGAAGTGAGCTAATTTTTTTGCATACCCCTAGTCAAATGATCCTATCTCTATATATATATGGGGCAGTATTCTTTGACAGTCAAATTTTGAAATTTAACACCAAATCTTAACCATTAATTTTCGTCAATCAATGGTTATCATTTATTGTAAATTAATGATTAATTAACAAGTTTGATTCTCAATAAATGATAACCGTTGATTGATGGAAATCAACCGTTGATTAATTAATGAGTTTTGGGCAATGGATCATTTTCAAAATTAACTTGATTCGATTCCAAGGCAATTCACTTGTGGTCACCATCTTATGTGTATGTTGGTAAGCTAACAACAGTGTAAACAATTTGTCTAGGATGGGTTTCTAGATCCTCACTCCATCTTTGTCTCATATAACAAACTCCTTCGTGTGAATCATGTGTTCGATTCTCTAGAATGATGCTAATTACCTTTGTCTACTGCATGACTACTTGTTTCACCTTTTTGTTAATGCTAATCACCGAATTAATTTATGCTCTGATAAACATACGCGAGATGACCACTTTATTCACTGGAAGTTACATTGAAACAAGCAAACATTTCATTATTGACACAATATTTTTTTTTTTTTTATAACAATATTTTAGTTTATTGTAAGTAGTAACCGTGGCGGAGCTAAGATTTAATTTTAGCCGATGCCAAAAAATTTGACATATCAAATTATCAAAATATTTATCGTAATTACACAAATCTATTAGGAAAAATTTGACATATATCCAGGCTAACCTTTTAATTTTTTTAATAATATAATATATTTATGACATATATTATTCACTTAAAGACATATTCTGAGATAATGATTTATAACATTGATTTTCAAAGTTATAGGATTGATGTTATTTTAACAAATAATAAATATTTATTTAAAGTTTAAAATATAATATAAAATTAAATTAGTAAATAAAGTGCAAATTATATGTATATATACATATTTGAAATTTTCATGTAATTTTTATGAATATTCTCATGTGATCTTTATGAACATTATTTCATGTGATTTTTGTGAATAAGAAATTTTATCTTTTATATTTCAATTTCGTTTGAGTCTATAAACTTAGTTTACAACTTGGTAGGCCTTACATGCCGTATTAGATTTTTAATTTTTTAAAATAGGTAAGGTCAGACCCATAAATCAAGCCTTTAATAGGATAATAGGCCAGTATAGGCTCTCAATATTTCTCATAGGCTTAGGCTATCAAAGCCAAAACCTGACCTAACATGGCCCCATTTACACCCCTAGTCCTGACCTATGAAGAACATCAACATAGAGGGATAGAACAAACTTCACAATTAAAAAGAAACATGGAACAAACAGCGACAAATGTCTAAAATCACTTAAATGACATTAGATCCACATAAATCATTTAATCAGTGTTTAGATATTTTAAAAAATTTAAGAATACAAAAAAAAGAACTTTTTAATAGGTATGCACAAGAAATTTTCATATTTCATAAATATGCATATATCTTCATTGATTTTTTTTCTTTAATAGTTTTCACTAATTAATCTTCAAAATTTTCATTCCTGTTGTGAAATCAAATTCAAATAACACCAAGAAACAATTTAATTCCATTATTAATAGCAACTGTAGCTCTACATTAAAATAATTTTAAAAAAAAGGTAAACATAAAACAACACTCCATTTTTTCAAAGAAATAAAATCAATAAATACAACCACACACAAAAAAAGTTGTAAATAAAAAAGGATAAGATATTGTTACTATCAAATAATGTTACTACCAGTATTACTATCATATCTTAACCGTTGATTTTCGCCAATCAACGGTTATCATTTATTGCGAATTAATAATTAATTAATGAGTTTGATTTGTGAAAATAATAACTGTTGATTGGCGAAAATCAACGGTTAAGATATGTAGTAACATTATTTTGTAGTAGCTTACCAAAAAAAAAAAACATTATTTTGTAGTAACAATATCCTATCCCAAAAAAAGGGGCAAGAATTTTACTCATCTTTGAAACACCCAATAAACAATTATGGTTAGCAAAAATAAAGAATTTCTTTTTTACAAGGTTCAAAAATGTAAATCGATTTTTTTCCCATCGGACAATATAATTACCAATGCATATTCCAAGAACATGTATCCGTTAAATCTTGAGAAAGAAACGAAATATCGTATCTTGTCGCAGAATGACTGGGTTCCAGGTGGTGAGTGCGAATAAGAAAAAAAAAAGTTAGAAGAAAACCTAATTGAAAAAAGATGAAAGAAGAAAAAGAAGAAATTAAGAAGAAAGC